GCAACCCAGATCTTAGGATCAGTGAAACAGATTAGAAGATACAGCAACATCTCCTGCCACACTCAGTCACCTTACCTTTGCCATAGGTGTCAAACATATTCACTGGGAGAAAGATAGCTTCTTTAGGCCTGGGGAGATAGCTCAGTAGAGTAAGTACTTGCCTGGCAAGTACAGGGTCCTGAGTTCAATTCCCCGTACCACAAAAAAAAAAAAAAAAAAAAAAAAAAAGATAGCTTCTTTAATAAATCGTCCTGGAAAAACTGGCTTTGCACATGCTGAAGATTAAAGCTAGACTCATATCTTTCACCATGTGCTAAACTAAATCCGAAATGGATCAAAGATTTTTTTTTTTTTTTTTTTTGGTGGAACCAGGGATTGAACTCAGGCCTTTGTGCTTACCAGCGAAGCCCTTATTCTACTGAGCCATCTCCCTGGCCCCTGCATCAAAGATTTACATATTAAAATAAACATTAAATCTGCTGGAAAATACAATAGTTAAAACTCTTGACGACATTCATGTAGGCAAAGACTACAAATACAACCCTGACTACACAGGAACTATCACTAAAAATCAACACCTTGGATCTCATTAAAAAGCTTCTGTACCACAAGAGAAAACACCAATGCAGTGAAGAGACAACACGGTGTGGGGGAAAAATGTTTGCCAGCTATTTCCCAGGTGTGCTATGCCACTCCGGCCCTGCCCAGCCCCACCCCGCCCCAGTGATTGAGACTGGTCGTGGTGGTGCACATCTGTAATCTCAGCACTTGGGAGGCTGAAAACAGGAAGATCACTACAAGTCTGATCTATGTAGTGAGACCCTGTAGACCCTGTCCTAAATACAGAAACAAACAAACAACAACAACATCTATATATACATATATACATATACATAAAAACTGGGGGGGCTATGGTGAAAAAGAAACCCTTCTCCACTGTTGGTGGGAGTGTAGACTGGTGCAACTATTGTGGAAACCAGTGTAGAGATTCCTCAAAAAACTAGGATTAGAGGTCCCATTTGACCCAACTATCCCCATTCTGGGTATTTTTCCAGAAGGACTAAAAACATCATATCACAGTGATATGTGTGCACCCATGTTTACAGCAGGACAATTTGTCATAGCTAAATCTTAGAAACAACGCAAATGCTCATCAACCAAAGAATGGGTTAAAAAAAAAAAAAGACATGGTCTTTCGATATAAGAGTACTACTCAGCTATAAAGAAGGATAAACTTGAGACTTTTTTAGGTAAATGAGTGCAACTTGAGACCACCATACTCATAAGCGAAATAAACCAGATTCAAATGTAAACATCATACTGTCTCTCTGGTGTGAGAAGCTGAAAGGGTAAGATCTAAAATGCACAACAGATACTGGGAAATGGGAAGAAACTATTCAAAATGAAGGAGAAACTTGGATGGGCAAAGGAGAAAATGAAGGGAAAAGCATATATATCTACACCAATTTCTTTTAGTTCACTGAAAAGAAAGGTCTGTGCTAATATTGTTTAGAAAGTTAAAGGCCTATATCATGTATTCTGAATGACTAATTTAAAGATAATACATAATTTATTAACCATTGTTACTCTATTATCTTGTTTTGAATTTTTTTCCTCTTTGAAAAAAGTAAAACAATAAAACCCAACAATAATAACAACAAACTCAACAGGTCAAATCCAGAGCCATGGAAGGGGTGGGAAAGCCCAAGACCCAGAATTCCTATCAGCCAACCAAACCAAAGGCACATAAATATTACGGAATTATTTAAATCAGACTACCTCAGTGGTTGGCGGGGGTGGACCTGCTACCAACTACTCAGGAGGCTGGGGCAGGATGATTACTTGGGCCCAGGAGATGGAGACCAACCTGGGCAACACGGCAAGACTTGAATAAGGAAGTGAGCTGGGTATGGTGGAGCCCACCTGTAATCCCAGCATTTGGGAGGCTGAGGCATAAGAACTGCTGCACTTTTGAGACCAGCCTGGGCTGCAAAGTGAGCTCAAGGCCAGCCTGAACCCTATAGCGAGACCCTGCTTCAAAAAGACCAAAGAAGGGGGCTGGAGAGATGGCTCAGTGGTCTAAAGCACCTACTTGAAACAAGCTTGGCAAAGCACAGGGACCGCAGTTCGATCCCCAGCACCACATGCCAGCCAGACCCGCCCTCTGGTGGGCTGAGCTGGCCATACACACACACAATAAATAAATGTAATAAATAAAAATAAATAAATATATAAAAAAGAAGAAGACCTTTTAAAAAAAAAAAAAAACAAAACAAAAAACAAAAAAACCAAAGAAAAGGGAAGCAAACAAATGTTGTATCAGTCTCAGTTCTATCGACACTCGGGGCTGGACCCTTTGTTGGGGCTATGTGTAGCACAGGACGTCTGCAATACCCTGACCTCTGCCCAATTCCAGTAGCACCTCCCCTCTGCTGACCACAACTATGGTAGGGAAGGGTTGGGCAACATCTACCCAGGGAAAAACCTCTGATTCAAATGGAAATTTCCAGAAAGTTAGCTGATTTTTTACAAATATTTTTGGACACAGGGGCTTGCGCTGTAGTTTAGGCTTGAACTTACAAAGTGAGTGGGCTGGTTTTCTCTTGCCTCAGCCTTCCAGGTGCTGGTTTACAAACCACTAAAACAGTCACCTCTCCCCCCCATAGAAGAGGAACTTAGTCGTTCCACTACTTCTAATCTTGTTTTCAAAACAGCTGTGTAGTTATTCCACAGGCACTCTTCAGAGATTTCTGGCTGGCAATGGATAACGTGTAGGCCGCCAAGGCTCATGGAGCCAGGTTGAGCAATACCACCAAACACTGACCACTATTTCCATTCCTCCCAGCTCACTAAAGAGCACAAACCAGGACTGTCTCCCTTGCTTCCACAAAACCTGTGAGTCACTCTGGCCTTGCCAGGCTGGCCCCATGCCTCTCTCTGTGATGGCCTCAGTGATCTCTCACACCTCTCCTGATGGGTGTTTCTTTCCCCTCCTAAGCAATTTTGGAAGTAGCTACCAGACTGGAAAACTCAAAGGAGACAGCAACAACACCAGCATGGACTGTCTTCTTGCAGGTGGGGCCTGTCACACCCCTGCTCAGAACTTATGGAACCTTTGACCAGCATAGGCCAGAGAGCTGGTAACAAGTGTGTGTGTGTGGAGGGGGCATTGCTGCTCTTGGTTTCCGTGATATGCAAGTCTATGCAGTGCTTAGCTCTCAGCGCAATGCCAAGAAATGACAATGTTAGGGAAAAAAACCATCCTTAACATGTTAAGCATCTTTACCAACTGTTCCAATGAACCCTTGTTCATCAACTAAGAGAACAAACAAAAACACTCCAACTACTATAATTACAGGCTTGCAAATTTAGCAGATGGCAATATACTGTGGGAACTAACGTGGTCACCTGTCAAGTGATGGAAAATCCCTCGCTCATAGACATGCACACCTATACACAATTACACACTCGCTTATCACAATAGGAAACAGAATGGAATTGCTAGAGGAGCCTGGCCTTGGAGTTGAGAGACACTGGACCCAGTGTGGTCCTCCTGCTGCCTCTCTCCTGCCCATCTGGGAACAGAGCCCACTGCCCCAGCCACACTTCGTGGTGACAAGACAGAGCCTTCTTCCTGAAGAGGGACAGTCCAGGGCCAGATTACACTTCTTGGGTTTTGGTTCTCAATCTGTTTGCAAGCCCTCCTGTTCTACCCCTACGACCCCCTCTGTCCACACCAGGGCAACATGGCTGTGCTCTGCAGACTCAGATGGAAACTTCCAAGCAGTCACCATCACCGTGGACAAGCTCTTCGAACAGCCCCTGGCAGCAGGTCAATCAGGGCAGCATTTTGCTGGGTTGTTAACATGCTGCAGATCCGGGTCCTGTGTTTTGTGGTGTGGGAGACCGAACCCAGGTACTCACATACAGGTTAGTGCTGTGCCACTGAGCTATATCCCCAGACATTTTTAACTTAGTTTATTTTGGGGACAGGGTCTTGCTAGTTGCCCAAGCTGGCTTTGAATTTGCAATCCTCCTGCCTCAGCCTATTAAGTAACTGTGATTACAGGCATGGGCCATGGTGCCTGGGTGAAAATTGAGTTCCTTTTAATGCTCCAAGAAAAGGACAACATGCACACTCAAGAGTGCACAAGTTTAAACGGACTCACACTTTCTCTCACACCTAAGCGCACAAAACACCCTGTGTGAGCCAGGCTTGGTCCTACACAGATGTAATCCTAGCACTCAGGAGACTGAGGCAGGAAGACTGCCACAAGTGTGAGGCAAGCCTGGGATACACAGTGAGTTCAAGACCAGTCTGAACTAATTGGCAAACAACAACAACAAACATATGAAAGGAAACCAAACCCCCACATGAACTTTTGTGCATAGGAGCTTTACAAGTTTTCAAGGTACTGCTGAAATATGCGAAGGCCCTGCCTTTATGAAGCTGGCTTTGCTCTTATTTAGGAGCCAACAGACAAGGAATCCTGGAGGCTGACCCACTTGGGTCGGGGCCAGCTCTGGGCTTGCTGACTGTGACACATACACAGAAAGGTCGGTTGCATCCCTGGCAGAGGAGGTGCGAGCTCCCAGCTGTGACCAGGAACAACTCAGCTGGGACACAGTAGAACCCCTGCACTGTGGCTCCTCTATAATTAGTACCTCTCTCCAGCTAGAGCACCTGATCTCTCTAGGCTGGGGACTCCCTCTCTGGCTAAGCAATGTGGTAAGGTGAGGGAGAACATGTATTCAAAGCACATATCTGTCATCCCAGCACTCCCAGTGCTCAGGAGGCTGAGGCAGGAGGATCACTGATTCAAAGCCAGTCTGGGCTACACTGAGTTCAAGGCCAGCCTGAATTATGTATCGAGATCCAGTTTCAGAAAAATCAAAAGAACATAGCATTGAATGGAGCAGGGGCCTTGGAGAAATTTGGGACATCTGCCTCCCTCTGTGTCTTCCCCACTTCTTGGGAAAAGGTAGAAAAGCCCTGTCACCTGTCGTAGATCTCGGAGCCCTCCTCCAGGCCGGGCAGCAGGCCCACGAGGAAGGCCTGGAGGCTAGGAAGGAGGAGCTTCTGCAGTGGGAGAAAGTACTTCTCATACAGGCCGAGGAGCACGGGTCGCACCGACATCGCCGCGTTTGCCAGCAGGGGAAATAGCCCGCAGCTGCAGAGAGAAGGAGGTGGGCAGTGCGCGACAGGCTGCAGGCAGGGCTGGGCTTTGGGTGCCTGTTGTTTTTGTTCTTGCAGTGCAAAAACACTTGGGAGTCTGGCACATGCTAGGCCAGTGCTGTACCCAAGCCACACCCCACCCCAGCCACAGCATGGCTTTGGGACCAGCAGCTGTGGTGGGTTCCCGCTATGCTTATTTTGCTTGTTTGTCATTTTCTGATCCGAGGAGCCCAAACATGAGTATACCCGCACAGGGAGGAGCACGATACCTGTACAGGAACAAGTCCTGCGCCAGCCATTTGGTCCCCACAATTTTGAAGATGATCTCATAGGTTTCCAGAGCCTTCAGATGCACACCGCTGGGCAGGGCGGGATGCAGACACTGCGCTAGCCTCTTGCTGATGACCAGCCGGCGCGGCAGCAGGGAATACTTCAGGTTGCTCTGCAGAGCCTGTAAGACAGCAGGGGCCATTAGCCAATACTGGCAAGGAGTGAGCACAGAGCGACTGCACATGCAGGGCCAGGGACAGCCTTGAACCAGGCTCTGGGACCGCAAGTACCTGGGAAGAAGTCTCCCACCAACATGGTAAGAAGGATGGCACCACAGTGACCATCACCATCCAGCATGTGCTCAGGGGCCTTTGTGCAGATGAGGGCTGTGTGCCTCTACTCAGGAAGCTGCCAGTCCACATGCTGAGGAAAGCCACACAGGAGTGGCACAGACAATTGCCTGTTCCCAGGAAGATGCTTGTGCACGTGCCATCAAGTCCCACATGTTTGCCCAGGGAGACAGAGGCCTGAGTTCTCCTGGTTCAGCGCCCCAGCTTGTTGACCCTGAGTGGGGGCTCAGCTACATTTGGGGTGGGGGGCTCTCCAGATATCACCAGCAGGTGGTGGAAGTGGTCAAACTACACAGGACACCACCATGATTGTGGAACAGAGCCATGATGTTCCCACGAGGATTCTGTAAGCAGGACACATGATTCCTTCTCCGCGGGTGGACACATGACCAGAGCTATTCCTGTGGTGCTGAGTGGCTGTCATGGGAGGTTCCTAGCACATTTGTCTTACAGCACAGTCTGCCACTATGGTGAGACAGTCATCTGCTCATATAGGGCAAACTCCGGGCTCCACAGCAGGGCGGCATGGTGTCGGCATGGCAGATGGGAAGCAGAAATGGGAGACAACTCTTCTGGGCCACACCCTAGGAACCCCCTCTTTCCACCAGGCCTCACATCCTCACAGCCCCATAATCCAATGACCTGCCAAACATACAATCAGCCTCTGTGGATCACTATAGGTCTAACTTTAAATCCAGGCTTCTTGAAAGCCCCTCAAAAGCTTTCACAGTGCAGCTCCTGCCTGCCCTGTTCTTTCAGACCTAGCTTCAAACTGTACCAGACTGTGCCACAACACCACACAACACTCAGGCTCCCACCCGCTTTCTCACTGTCCCTCACCTGGCCTCTCTTCCCTGCACCTAGCTCACTATGCTCCCACAAAGCACTGCTCTGCTCAGCGGCAGAACTGTCCCCCAGCAACACAGGGCAGGAAGCAACTTACTCATGCCTGCTGTCCTCAGCACTCTTGATTATTCCTAGGGTAAAACATGCTCAGCTGGACCTGCTGGCCTGTGTCCTAAGGGCAGGGACAGCTTTCCTCTTCCAGATAGAAACCCACCCACCTCTAGTACACATACTCAGGCTATACGGGAGGTAAAGCAAGAGAAAGCAAATGATATTTTTCATCAGAGGCCTATGGTCTAAATGGATATGCATATTCAATAAAAACATCTTCACAAAATTAGATATAGAGATCATCAAATAATATCTTCAAGGGCTGACCAGACAGCTCAGTGGATTAAAGCACCTGCTTAGGCAGACGCAAGGACCAGGGCTGGACCCCTGGCATGCTGTGCCAGCCCCACCTCCGGGGCACACTGAGACGAGAGTCTGAGTCTGGATGAGACTGGGCACAGTGGCACACACCTATAATCCCAGTGCTTGGAAGGCTGAAAAATAGGAAGGATCACTACAAGTCATCTGATCTGTGTAGAGAGACCCTGTAGAACCTGTACTAAATACATAACAAAAAAATCTTTTCATGGAGAGCTGAGTACCTTAAAACAAAAGGGAAGCCAGTAAGAGACTCTGAATGATGGGCTGGAGAGATGGCTCAGTAGAATAAGTGCTTGCCTGGCAAGTGCAAGGGCCTGAGTTCATCCCCAGTTCCACCAAAAAGAGAGAGAGAGAGAGAGAGAGAGAGAGAGAGAGAGAGA